GGCACCCACCTTGGTGGGCCTGGACCCACCCACTCACTGGCCCTGCCCCCCCCCACCGCTGAAGTTCGCCTCCCTTTTAAACCAATAAAGAAATTATAGATTTAAAAAAAAGAATTATAGGAAAATATAAATAAATAAATAAATAAATAATTAAATAAAATGGTTAACTTATGCTATGTGAAATTCACCCCCAAAATGTTATGTTAGACATTTTTTAATATTTTTTTATTGATTTCAGAGAGGAAGGGAGAGAGAGAGAGAGCGAGAGAGAGAGAGAGCGAGAGAGAGAGAGAGCGAGAGAGAGAGAGAGCGAGAGAGAGAGAGAGCGAGAGAGAGAGAGAGCGAGAGAGAGAGAGAGCGAGAGAGAGAGAGAGAAACATCAATGATGAGAGAGAATCATTGATCGGCTACCTCTAGCACACTCCACACTGGGGGGTGAGCCTGTAACCCAGCCATGTGCCCTACCCTGGAATAAAACCCTGCCCTCTTGATTCATAGGTCGATGCTCAACCACTGAGCCACGCCAGCTGGGTTGTGTAGACATTTGATACAATAGTTCTGAAAACTTTTTTATTCTGTAAGTCTTTGGTGGGTTTTCTTACAAACCCACAGTGGGGAATGGGGAGGGAGCTGGTATTGGTATAGTGGGGAAAGGAAAATAAGACGTGTGCCTTAGAATCAGACATTCCTAAGTTTGAGTCCCTACCTGCCATTTGCAGGCTGTGCGGCCTGGAGCAAGTTACTTTACCTCTCTGAGCCGGCTTCCTCGCCTGCCAAGTGCATGACTGACGGCACCATTCAACAGGACCCACAACTCAGACCCAGGCACACGAGAAGACAACGGTCATTTCCTCCCTGTCCCCCTTCTCCAGGTTGATGGCTTTGCCACCACCCCCACCACCACCCCCAGCGATGAAGCTGGGCTGAGTGCCAAGGGGTGGGTAAGAGGGTCAAGATTCCAAGATATGTGATTCCAGAAATAACCCCTTTCCTTAAAAAGTGCTGATGACGAATACATACACCTCTTACTGGCAGGGGTTACGTGCATGCGGTCACCCAAAGCAGACAGACTCAAGGACAACCCGAAGTCAGCAGGGAGCAAAGCAAACACTACAGCCTTATCTTGGGGCCTCGGGGTGACTATAAGAAGGGAGGCCTCCAATGGAGTCAGTCCTTTCTCGCTCATCAGTTTCCCGACAGGATGAAACTCCTTGTGCTGGCTGCTCTGCTCACAGGTAGGCACGTCTTTCCAGCTCCACCTACGTCTAGGGCTAGGATCTCACTCTTTTGGAACGGGGGTCACAGATCACAGGGCTGGCCAGACCTGGAATCTTTTATTATTTTTATTTTATTTTATTAATTAAAAATATTTTTATTGATTTCAGAGAGGAAGAGAGAGAGAGAAACATCAATGATGAGAGGGAATCATTGATCGGCTGCCTCCTGCACACCTCTCAATGGGGATTGAGCCCACAACCTGCGCATGTGCCCTGATTGGGAATCGAACTGTGACCTTCTGGTTCTTAAGTCGATACTCAACCACTGAGCCACACCGGCTGGGCCAGACTTGGAGTCTTTATTCAGAGCTTCCTGAGGGGCTTAAGGTCTCCCATATTGGGATTCCCTCAAATCCCCCCTCAAGCTGGCACCCTTCAACCTTCAGGTGTGAGCTCGGATAACCCCTCTCAAAAAGGCCCACCCTGTGCATCCAGACGAACAAAGACGCCTCTTCTTTCTTCCTACCATGTTGCCTTGGCACCAGGTCCCATCTTCCCAGCACCTGTCTTTGCTTGCAATTTGTATCTTGTTGGGTTTGTGTGGGGGTTTTTTACCCATCTACATGGGCTCTATGAGAGCAGAGATACTGCTGTTTGCACCGTTATTGAATGAATAAATGGAATCCGACACATTCCCAGCTCATTCATCCATCATTCATTCATTCATTCATTCAACACTGATGGTATCAGAGCCACCAAGGGATCAGGCTCTGGGTTGAGACTGAAGAGTGAGATGAATGAGCCACGCACCAGTCGGAGGAACACACACAGGAGCTGTATGTGGACTGGCCTCTGCAAAGACAGAGCTGGTGGGACCAGAGAGAGAGAGAACAGGGAAGCAGGAGTAGGGTCTGGAGGTGGGTCACCCGAGCCAGGCTACTCGGTCTGAGCAGGCTCCAGGCTCCTGCCCCAGGACACAGCCCCTGCTGGCTGGGCTGCCGCATGGAGGTGCTGGGGGGGAGGGTGACCAGCTGCCGCCCCTCCCCTGCCCTGGGGTCTAAGCACATGAGTGGGCCAGCGTCACAGACCAAGGAAAGAGAGGGCAGGGCAGGGGGCAAAGAGACAGCAGTCGTGGCTGATTGAACCAGGACCCCAAAATCATTTCCTGCGTCTTCTCTTTAGGGCACCAAACCTCAGAGGGTCAGGCTCTGCAAATGGGGTGAAGGGATCCTGCTTCCCTGTGTCTAGGGGGCCAAGCTTTGTGCTTGGTTTAGACAGACACTCAACCAGAGGTAGACTTTTTTAACTTCTTCAATCGATATTTACTGAGCACCTACTATGTGCCAAGAACTTCAATTCATGTATTGATGATTTCATTCATTTAACTCATCATGTATTTATTGAGTGTCTACTATGTGCCGGGCCCCATGTGAGGTCCTAGGGAATAAAAGCCCTGAGGCCTGTCCTCAAGTGTTCTGTCCTCGGAGAGGGAGGCATTAAATAGACGGAGCACAGACTGTGGGAGGGACGATGAACAAAGAGCATGAAGAGAAGTGATGGCAGGGGAGCCACTTAGCTCGGGTGGCCAGGACGGGCCTTTTGAGGAGGTGGCTTTTAAACCAAGATCTTCCAGCTTTTCAAAGTGAGATGACAGGTGTGCCCGGCAGAGGGAGCAGCGGTGGGTGGGCCTGGAGGCAGAGCGAGAGGCTGAGCTGCTGAGGATGGGAGGCCGCAAAGGCCTCCTCACTGTTCTCTGCACTCCCGCCCACCTCAGCCCCACAATCCCCCACAATCCCCCTATTTTAGATTCTTCTTACCCTGTTCCAATTTTTCATCCTCTAGCACATTATCTGATCTCCTTTTTTGAAAAAAAAATATTTTTTTATTGATTTCATAGAGGAAGGGAGAGAGAGATAGAAACATCAATGATGAGAGAGAATCATTGATCTGATCGGCTGCCTCCTGCACGCCCCCTACTGGGGGATCGAGCCTCAACCCAGGCGTGTGCCTTTGACGGGAGTCAACCCCAGAACCCTTCGGTCTACAGGCCAACACCCTGTCCACTGCACCACACCGGCTGGGGCCTGATCTCCTTTTTTATTACGTTTATTGCTTATTGGCTTTCTCCCCCACTAGGATCTAAGCTCAGTGAGGTTATAGACCTTTAACTTGTTCCCTGATGTATCCCAAGCTCCTGGGCCCTGGTAGGTGCTCAATCAACATTTGCAGAATAAATAATGGAGATGGTTTAAAACCATCCTCATCGAAAACATATGTTCACGAAAACTAGTTAATGGCAGCACTACTGAGAACAGTGCAAAAGCGGGAACAGCCCAAATGTCCACCAAATGATGAATATATAAAATGTGGCCTATCGGTACAGTGGACTATCATTCTATGAAAAGGATGGAAGTGCTAATATACATGTTGTAACATGAATGGACCTCAGAAAGGTGATGCTAAGTGGAAGAAGCCAGTCGCAGAGGTCACATGTGGTATGATTCCATTTATACGAAGGGTTCAGAGCAGGCAAATCGTAGGGCAGACAGCAGAGTGGGGGTGCCAGCAGGGAGGGGGAGCTTTTGCTGATTGGTACAGGGTGTTCTGGGGCGGGGGGATAAAAATGTCTATTAGTGTGATATTTGCACAACTGTGAATTGTACACTTTAAATGGCTAAAATAGTGAATTTTATGTCATATAAAT